AAGGGAATGAGGGCTGTTCTAAAAAACTTGGTGGGTTTTGGGGCGGTTTCAGAGGATGGTTGCCCCACCCCACCCTATCCCTAATATACTATAAATTTATTAAATTACCCTTATATACTATGATATATTACTAAAATAGGTTAAATATATATAATGAGATTGCAAAAATCCCCACCACGATTGGGCCCCGTTTCGTTTGGGATGGTTTTGGAGAACCGATTATGTAAATGGAGACAGTAATAGGGGCTACTTTGAAAAACCCGACGGGTTTTTCAAAGTTATGGGAGTGAAAAATTAAACAGGAATGGGGATGGGGAATGAGATCCCCACCTCAAATCACCCCATTGACATCCCTAATCCCGCCTGTCGTGTACTTGTCTTGCCCTACCCCATTTAGAATAGTTATGGGTGTGGTTAATGGTTTTGGGGTGGGGATGGGAAAAGATCACCCCGTCCCGCCTTGCCGTGGCCCGTCCCGTTTATAGTAAGAAATTATAATTTTATCCTTATATTTTATAATTATAATTTTAATCATTAAATATTCTTCTGTATTATTCTTATTTGAGAACTTTTATGTATTATTTTGATATTCCAATAATAATTTTAGTGTTGAGTCTCAATTAAGAAGTTGAATCTTGTTTTTATTCGCATAAGAGAAAAAAAAAAAAAATTATCATAGTTGAAAATTTGTTATATTATTTGATTTCGTAAGATTTGTATTATAATTACGAAAATACTCTACAAACCCGCCTTGCCCCATCACTGTCACAGCCTGTTTAATAAACGGTTTTGGGGTGGGGATAAGGGTATCTATTCTAAACGGGGATGTGGATAGCTATTCTAAACGGGGATGGAGATGGGGATGGGAATGGCGATGGCGTTCCCAGAGGCGACTCAATATAATTTGAGGTCTTAGGTGAAAATTATAAAAATAACGACCTTAATATGTTAATAATGTTATTTCAATGAATGTGTTTGAAAGTATGGTGACACATATATTTGATTAATATTTTGAATCAAGTGAATAATATATATTTTTACTATTATACATTTTTTAGCTTAATTATTAGTTAAATATATATTCAATAGAAACATGGAAGAAGGGGAGGAGGAAAAAAAAATGATAGGGATAGAATTAGGAATTTTAATAGAAAGAATAAAAAAAAAAATTCACCCAGGGTTAAAAATAAAGAAGTCTATAACATACTTTAAGGAAGTAATAATTATAATTAATAGCTACAAATCGTTATAATTAATAATATAAGGAAAAAAAATGTTAGGAACTTGAAAAGATAAAATAATCATTTTAGGGGCTTCATAAAATTTTTTAGAAGTATAATAAAATAAGGGCTCGGCCATTTAATAATGTAAGGAAATAAAAATGTTTGGAAATTGAAATAATAATTTTAGAGTCTAACTGATAAAGAAAATAAAAATTTTAAAAAGTCTAAATATAATAAGCAAACAATACTTTTAGGAGCTTTCTATTGACTGAAGCCTTAGATAACTGCCTAAGTCGCTCAGAACTCCAGCCTCTTAGAGTTGTTCTGCACAATCAACCGAATTTGATACCCGTAAAATAAACAATGCTGTTCAAGAAATAAACAAGCACGCACAAGAACATAAGATATAAATGGTTCACCCAAATCTTAGGGTTACGTTCATGAAGCACACCGAACAAATTCATTATGAAGAAGATGAAGAATTACAATGGAGAATTTTTTCTCTCTTGTGTTGGCACAAATTTATCTCTTAACTCTCACACACTCTAAAATCTGATTAGAGAGTTGATATTTATAGAGTCTCAAACTTGTCATAGAAGAACTTATCTTTTATAATATCCAAAATCAATAAAAAAAGTTAGGTTTAATTACAATGACACCCTCTGAAATTTGCCATAATGACAGTCATATATAAGTTTAGCCTTTTTTTTAACAATGACACCCCCTTATCAGAATTTTGATCAATTTTTATCCAAACAGGTCCTTAAATGATTGGAAAAGACGAAATTGCCCATTAGTATTTAATTGATTCTAATGACAAAATATCAGAATTTTTAAAAGACGCATTTGCCCTTCTATCAAGATCTCACCTAACCCTAAACAAGTTGCGTGTCTGTTCATTCCACACTCTCTATCTCTTAACTTCTGGAATGGAGAAGAATATACTTATATTTCATTGATACAAATCGTGATCTGGAGATAATGCAGATGCTCGCCGCCGACAGCACACCAATCGAACAAATTCGAAGCTCGGAGCGTGTAATCCAACGCCTTGCTCAGGCCATCACCGGCGGCGATTGTATTCCTGCCAAGAACTCCTTACTGAACGGCCCAAACAGATCATCCGCCTTTGGGCGGCGGCGCCACTGTCGCCTCCCCTGTTGGTATTCCGCCATTTCATTTTTGCTGAACAGAGATCAGCATCCTCGATGATGACGATATTAAGCCCATATCTGATTTTGCATCATCACCAAATCCATTTGCATTTTTACCAGAAGGCTCGATTCACTTGCATCATACCCGGTCTGAAATATACACCCGAAACTAAAAGGGGAGAACCTGCACTCTCCAATCTCTTCAATGGCTGCTGATTTAAGTACATCTCCTTCGTCGATGGAGTTCCAGTGGATATATATGGCCCTGTCAGTTCGACCAGAGAGGAGGCGGGCAATGGTGGCCCATTTGTTGCCAAACAGGGCGATGGTTTCCATTAAAACTGGTTTGGAAAAAAAAATTGTGATTAATTTGGGGATGGTTTGGGTAGTGTAGGAATGGATTGGATTGCAATGGTATGAATATATACGCGCACGCGTGTGTAAAATAAAGAGGTTGAAGAGAGGAAAGATGAGGCGGTGTTGATGGCGGCGACGACTCTGTGGGTAGGAGGTTGGTACGAAAAAAGGGTAAATTAGTAATTTCAGTGTCCCATCATAAGTCAAAGGTTATTGAGGTCATTTTACTATGTGTCAGACACTCAAAGGGTGTCTTTGTGAAGGGAGCAAACCTGAGGGGATGTGATCGTTCAAAAATGAACCAATTTATATATGATTGTCATTGCAAATTTGTGTCATTATAATTAACCTAAAAAGTTAAAACAGACTAAAAAATTAAATATTTCCTAAAATTCCCTACTCTTCCCATATATTAAAATCTTTCTAAAAATCTTTCTAAAAATCTTTTATTTAATCAAACTTCTCAACTGAACGAGTTTTTCACGTCAAACCGTCCCATTCACATCCCTGACATCCCTATTATATTAACTCAACTATCTTTATATCAAATTAGTCGCGTTCGAAATCAGTCTTCCCCATCATTTCTCTGGACGTACATACCTTTCACTGTCACTTAGCACGTGCTCCACTGTTAGCATGTGCTACACTTTTATTAATAGTCCAGATTCTATTTATGTAATAGTCCAAATTCTCTTTTGTCCCTTTAAAAATATTTTATGTCTTCATTATTGAAAAATAATAAAATAAAACAGCGTGCACCATGATTTAATTGTGTGAAAAATAATTGTTAGGTGATTTGAATATTATTTTTTTTTTCTTTTTTGTTTTAAGTTAAATGCATCTATCTAGTTGCGTTGGAATCTTAGAAATTAGAAGTTCAAATACCTTTAGAAAAATCTTCATGATATTAAACTTTTACAGCTATCTCTTATGAATTGTGACTAATTTTCATGCCAAAATGCACTGGATTTATTATCCAATCATTAATGTATAGTCATCGGGGACTAGTCAATTCTACATCGGTGACAGTTTGAAATTACGAAAATGCCTATCAATTGATTTTTATAAGATGAAAAACTAAGAATACTTTTGATGTACTATTTAATTTTTATAACCACCTCTCAAATGCTGGAGAAGGGATTTTTTTTATTTCAACGAGTTCGATGAAATTTAGAAATGACAAAGTTCGAGTTCTACGATCGTTATTGTTGAATTGAAGTGGTTCAACTCGTGTAATCCGTTTATACCAGTTTAATTATACATGTCATAAATAAATTTATATTTAGGTTCCAAAATAATTATTTAAATTTGTATCTTATAATTTACTCTTTTGTAGACTAAAGAGTATTTAGTAATTTGGGTGGATTGAAATTTATATTTTCTAATATTTATTGTTTGATTGAATATTAAAAATAATTTAAATAATACTGTATAATTTTTTTATTTTAGTAAATACGTTATTAAAAGGGTTACATGTGTTGAGAGTTTATGACACGAATATTAAACGGGTAATTGAATTATTTAATATAATATTCTTAATTCGACACAATACGATTATGATTCGTGAATACGAATTGTCACCCTTTTAGATCATTTGTTCCCTCTTCTATGTCTTTTGTTCAAAAGGTTTCTCACCCAATTTGTGACTGGGTAGCTCATGCAATGAACAAATTTAAATTAAACTGGGATGATGCACTTTTTTGTTCTTTTTTGTTCTTTTTTGTTCTCATATAAGATTTGCAATTAAACTACATATTTGAATTAAGACAAGAATGATAGTAATAATGATAAATTGGATTAAGAATAAAGCTGTAGCAGTAAAAAATGGTATTGTCCTAAAATTAATTTTTATATGAAATTTAGAATTTGGGTAATTGAAATGCATAATTTCCTTTTTAAGAATGATCCTTTCCCAAAAATATCAAAATGAGTGGCATTTCTTTAATTTCGTATCACCACTAACAATGATTTGACGGCGCTGGTGAAAGATTGTAAGATGATCGTAGGTGAAGAGATTTTTTAGCATTGAAACAAATTAAATTTTTTATTTTTTAATCAGAATTTACGAATTAATCATAAAACATATACAGTGAGGGAGTTTTTGGTAATTTCACTCAGAAGAGCGTTTAGCATTTCAGAGAAGGCGGCCCAATTGTTAAAAGCCGCGTGAAGTAAATAACTCCTCAATTAAGGCTATTTCCGTCAATTCACATCCACCGTTGGCTCCCCTGAACTTTCTCTCTCTAAAATTGATTTAAATGATTATACACTGAACTACCATATATATGTGTGTATATATGATCCTCTCTAAAGTCTCCTCCATTCTTCTCGCTAGTCTCCGCGATTCGTTCCTCATCATTTCTTGTCTGAATCTCTCTCTCTATATACTTTCTCTCTCTATTTCATAGCCTCTTTTTTCTCTGATTGATCCCGGTTCAAATCCAAGTCTCAAGTAAGTTGATTTAATTCTGAGATCTTAATTCATATACTAACCGTGTTGTGATAGAATAAACTTAAACTTCTGTGTTGATTGAAGTTGTTTACGATCTGGGTATTCTTCAATTGGGTTAGATCTGTTGATAAATAAATGTGTTTAATTGTAATATTTAGAATTCCATAATCTTTAACTCATTTCAAGGCATTGCTTAATTTGATCTAGATCTATTATTTATATGCATGCATACATATATACCATTGACCTAAATTTCGGCAATTTATGCAGAAAGTGTATAAGTTTCGGAAATTTATGAATGTCTGGTTACAAATCATGGTTATTTTCTGCATTAAGTGTCGGATCTGATGAATTGGAGTTAATTTCAAATGATTTGTATTGAATTGAGTGTGTGTTGTGCTATTTTTGTCTTAGTCTATCCTGATCTTGATGGGATGTGAGAGTAACTGTTTTCAAATGATTTGGTCATTGGACTACCTTAGATTCCACTTGGATCAGTAGTTGTTTAATGGCTTCATTTCGTATGATGAATTGCTGTACTGTGATGGGTTTATTTCCTTTTTAATTGCTTATCATTTTGAGATCGGAGTTAAACTCACTTTGTCTTGTCGGGTGGTTTATATGATATATATTCAGAAACACACATATTGATGGTTTATATGATGTTTTTGGTTAAACCATTAATGCAGAACGTTTGTTTACATATGATCACGGTGATAATCTTACTTTGGATTTAATTTGAGGACTTTTAGTTTGTAATAGCACTATGCAAAATCTTCATTGTTTACTTTGTGGACCTGAATTTGGTTTTTTAATTTTTCTTGTGTAGAGGCTGGTTTGACATGGCTACATATACCCCCAAGAATATCCTCATTACTGGGGCTGCTGGATTCATTGCATCTCATGTTGCTAACCGGCTCATCCGGAGTTACCCTGACTACAAGATTGTTGTGCTGGACAAGCTTGATTACTGTTCCAATTTTAAGAACCTCCTTCCCTCTCGATCGTCTCCCAATTTTAAGTTTGTCAAGGGAGACATTGGCAGCGCTGACCTCGTCAATTTCCTCCTCATCACTGAATCTATTGACACAATTATGCACTTTGCAGCCCAGACTCATGTTGATAACTCCTTCGGTAATAGCTTTGAGTTTACCAAGAACAACATTTATGGCACCCACGTCCTTCTAGAGGCCTGCAAAGTTACTGGCCAAATAAGAAGATTCATCCATGTAAGCACAGACGAGGTCTATGGGGAGACGGATGAGGATGCTGTTGTAGGAAACCACGAAGCTTCTCAACTCCTTCCTACAAACCCATATTCGGCCACAAAAGCTGGGGCAGAGATGCTTGTCATGGCTTACGGTAGGTCATATGGTCTACCTGTGATAACCACTCGCGGAAACAATGTCTATGGCCCCAATCAGTTTCCTGAAAAATTAATCCCAAAGTTCATCCTCTTAGCTATGAGAGGGAAGCCTCTTCCGATTCATGGTGATGGTTCTAATGTTCGGAGTTATCTCTATTGTGAGGATGTTGCTGAGGCTTTTGAACTCATTCTTCATAAGGGAGAAGTTGGTCATGTTTACAATATTGGGACTAAGAAGGAGAGAAGGGTGATTGATGTTGCCAAAGATATATGCAAACTCTTTTCAATGGACGCAGAAAGAAGCATTGAGTTTGTGGACAACAGACCATTCAATGACCAGAGATACTTTTTAGATGATCAGAAGTTGACAATCTTAGGATGGTCAGAACGGACTACGTGGGAAGAGGGTTTGAAAAAGACTATCGAATGGTATACAAACAACCCTGATTGGTGGGGGGATGTCTCTGGAGCGTTACTTCCTCATCCTAAAATGCTTATGATGCCGGGTGGGATCGAGAGATATTTTGATGGGTCTGAAAAATGCAATGATGGATCCTTTCATCTTTCAAGTAATTCTAATCAGACTCATATGGTTGTTCCAGTTTCCAAATGCAGCAGCTCTCCTCGGAAACCACCATTGAAATTTTTAATCTATGGTAGGACCGGATGGATTGGTGGTCTGCTTGGGAAATTATGTGAAAAACAAGGTATTCCATTTGAATACGGAAAGGGGCGTCTAGAGGATAGGTCACAGCTCTTGACAGATATTCGTACTGTGAAGCCAAGTCATGTTTTCAATGCTGCTGGTGTGACTGGCAGACCTAACGTTGATTGGTGTGAAAGTCACAAAACGGAAACAATCCGCACCAACGTTGCTGGTACATTAAACTTAGCAGATGTTTGCAGAGAGCATGGACTTCTAATGATGAATTTTGCTACTGGATGCATATTTGAATATGACGCTGCTCATCCAGAAGGTTCTGGCATTGGGTACAAGGAGGAAGACAAACCCAATTTCACTGGTTCTTTCTACTCCAAGACCAAGGCCATGGTAATTAAACACATCTGGTTTTCATTTTTGTTCCATTCTCAAGTTGTGTTATAAGTATTATCTTTTTGGAATATCATGTAATATATGATGATTATTCATGTAGTTGTTTGATTTTTTTTAACCAGGTTGAGGAGCTCTTGAAAGAATATGACAATGTTTGCACCCTCAGAGTCCGGATGCCTATCTCTTCAGACCTCAACAACCCGCGCAATTTCATTACCAAGATTTCTCGTTATAATAAAGTGGTTAACATTCCAAACAGCATGACCATCTTGGATGAACTTCTTCCCATTTCAATTGAGATGGCGAAGCGAAACCTCAAGGGCATATGGAACTTCACCAATCCCGGGGTTGTGAGCCACAATGAGATTCTGGAGATGTACAAGAAGTACATAGACAGCAATTTCAAGTGGGCCAACTTCACTCTAGAAGAGCAAGCCAAGGTGATCGTTGCCCCTCGAAGCAACAATGAGATGGATGCATCCAAGTTGAAGAAGGAATTCCCCGAGTTGCTATCGATCAAGGAGTCACTGATCAAGTTTGTGTTTGAACCCAACAAGAAAACTTCTACAAAGTAAGCATAAGCATTGCATATTAATGTTTTACAGTACTAGACATTAGGGCTGACTCTGCATTTTGCATTAGACAATATGGTTTTGGGCTACCTTAATAGCGTCAGTCATATGAAGCTTATTCATTCTTATTAGCTTCAGCTCATTGTTGCTGCTGTTCTAGTTGTAGAATCTAGATAGTGAGTGATCAGGATGGCTGAAGGCAGCGTTTCTTTCTATTTTTTCAGTTATACCTTAATTTTCTTGGCGTTCCTTTTACAAGGAACTTATGAATAGGCTCTATATGTTTGTTGTCACGGAACCTTGGAGGAGTGTAATATTTGGATTCTACTATTATGAATTTGTTTGTTGTTTTAATTCTCTTATTGAATATTGGAGTAAGAAATTTGGCTGTTCTCTTTTGGCATTGGAGAGACCATGAAAAACTGATTCTGTTTTAGGGTAAAGTGCATAAAAAACCAATCTATATAAAAAAAATTACTATTTAGTGGGTGCATATAAAATCCCTATAATTTAAAATTTTGTAACAAATTACCCTAACAGTCAATTCTGACATTTTTTTTTAATATAAAAATTCCCAAATACCCTTAATAAAATTTGAGTGTATTTAAGTATTTTATATTGTTCTCTAAGGGTATTTTTATTTTTAAGAGGTTTCATTGTTCATTTTTTTTTTTTTTTGGTAGGTCACCTATCTTTTCCATTGGTATTTTGTCCAATTGAAAGCAATCAAATTTCGTCGATGAACTTGGGCAAAATTCACATGCGCGTGCAAAAGTCGAGATATAGTTTACATCTGTTACCAGATAATTTTCGGTGTCGTTTTGGCAATTGAAAAAGTTATTTAGCTCTATTTAGCTCCATCTTTGCCTTAAACTAAGGACCATAACATTCATGGTTTCAGTATTCTTTTTATCAATTTTTTATTTGTTGAATAAATATCCGCATGCATAGAGGAGGAGACGGCATGCATCCTGCAAAAATTAGTACATTTATTTATTTTTATTATTATTATTTTTTTTCCCTGATTGATACCCACACACTTGTCTTTTTTTTTTTTTTTTGAGACTTAAACCTGACTTCTATTTAAGGATAAGAAATTGATATCGCTATCAAAAAAAAAAATAAGTACATATATATAATTAAAAAAGACTTCTCCTATAAAACACGTACTAAAAATTTCCCGGATTATACATAATAAAAAATACTTCATTTTCCAATTTCCCGGATTATAACATATATGCATGTTATGATGAATTATTAAATTATATATGAAGAATTATTTTTCGTAAATAAAAAATAAGAGTTTTAAACAAATAAAATATGCAACACCCATTGCATCGAAAAAGCATCGCATGTAACACCTGTACATCGAGAATGCAACACAGGTTGAAAATGCAACTGTTGCGATTGACAGAATATAGAAGGAAAAAAAGTAGCAATAAAATCAAAGATAAAAGATTGATACTGATGGAGGCGGGTGGATGGGCGAGGCTGTGGTGGTTAAGGCTTACATGGAGAGGAGCAAAAGAGAGTAGGGGTGTGTGTGCGTGTGGTGTCAATTATCACTTGTCTTTGTCATATCTGAATTTGCCGCACATCTTGTATTCTGGCGAGGATCAATCCATCAACCTTGCATGAAAAGGCAAATAAAAATAAATCAATACCAGCACAGATATAACTTATACGAGGACATTTCAGGAAGATGAATCCAACTACTGAAATCATACCACGGACGCAACTATATTGTTTCCATTAAATGGGGTTGAGCAGAATGGCTGGTGGATGGATTGGTTCCTGATTCCAAAATTGAAGTTTAATAATAAGCAATAAACCAGCAAATATATAAAGTTAAAACAGACACACACATACCTTCTAATTCCATCCGCAACCAATCTTGTCCACATATCAAAGCTTCCCGAATTTCAGGATTAAGTGAACTCCGGTGATGGTCAAGAACTCTACCTCCTGTGCTGAAAGCCAACTCTGCTCCAACAGTAGATACAGGAACCCCCAAAATATCACGCGCCATCATAGATAAGATGGGATACCTCGGCGTGTGAACTTTCCACCAATTTAATATGTTGAAATCATAATTGCGTGGAAATATTGGTTCTTCTATATATTTGTCCAGGTCTGAAATTATGCTTTGACTTTGTGAAGTTTCATGGAGGAACTTGTCAAAGCCCTTTAGTCTATCTCTAGTACCATTACTAGTACTAGCTAAGCTGCTGCCAGGCCGAGCCGGATCTTGATCCAGTGAATTTGAACTAACAGAATACTCGTTGAAAAGCTCTTTAATACCATCGGAAACATCCTTGATGCGATCTGGGGCATCACAGCCATAAATCTGAGAATAGTAATACTCCACCAACTTCATCTTGAATCGAGGATCTAAGATTGCTGCTATTGCCAAAGCCAAACTGCACTTGCTCCAATATTTGTCGAACTTGGCTTTCATCTTCAGTGCCATAGAACAGACAAAATCATCTTCACTCTTGCACCACTCAATCAATTGGATGTGAAGATCACAAATCTCGGGAAAATATATATTTGCAGTAGGACATTTGTTGGCTGAGAAGACATCAGTGATGTCAACACAAAGTTTCATATAGACAGCAACAGAACTTGTCCATTCCCATTCTCTTTCCGACAGAGCCATTGTGTAGGCAGGGTCGTGATCTAGTAGGAGAGAAAAGGCACACCTATATTCTGCAGCTGCTTCAAGCATAAGATATGTTGAGTTCCACTTCATTGGACAGTCAAGAAATAACCGTTTCTGACTATTGATTCCAGCTTGCTGAGCAATCTCATTAAACTTCCCCAAGGTTGCTTGTGAACTTTTGATATATCTAATGCTTTCTCGGATTTTGTGAATTACATCTTGAAGTGCTTCCATAGCATCTTGAACAATAGATTTTATAACACGTGCTGCACAACGTACATCAAATAGCTGCCCATTCTTCAAAAGAGGCTTGTTCTGAGAGAGCCACTCTTTAATTCTAATCACGACATCATCATGGGTTGAACAATCATCAAATGTCATAGCAAACAACTTATGGTCAATACTCCAATCGATCAGACACTTGATAACAACTTCTGAAAGTGTGTAATCAGTGTTCGAAGAGTCTAATGTTACAAAATTCACCATCTTCTTCTGCAAGTTCCAATCCTCATCAATATAGTTTGCTGTCAAACACAAGTACCACGCATTTTCAGGTGAAGTCCACATATCAACAGCAAGGCTAATTCTGCCATGCAAACCATGAATCATATCATGCACTTTCTGTCTCTCTTTTCCGTAGATTGTCATACAGTCAAGCTCAATGGTGCTATTAGTCATGACCTCAAATAATGGCTGAAGATTCTTGACAAACATTTTGAACCCAACATGCTCGACCATGGCCAATGGGTAACCATGCAGCATGATCATTCGAGCAAGATCCAACTGACTCCGCTCTTGATCAAACTTAATACTTCCAAGGTTGATAGTTTCTTCTTTTCTCTGCTCTTGATCATACTTAAAGTTCATAGGGGTAACGTTAATGATTTCATCTTTCTTTTGCCCTTCATCATGGTTGACAACCGTAAGGCTGAGGTTACTTTCTTTCCTTTTTCTTTTTGCTGCAAGTATTTGAGACACATCATAATTGGATCTTTTCAGACACCGTATCAAATGATTTCTTAAATGAGTAGTTCCACTGTTACTTGACCCACTAAGTTTCTTTTTGCAATGAACACAGACAGCATAACATACGTCAGCCTTTTTAACCCTTTCAAAGTGATTCCATACAACAGATGTCAACCTCTTCGGTTTCTTAATAGGCGTCTCACTTGATATTTCCATCACATGTACTTGATATAAACCAACGTCTGCACATAAATGAATATCAAATATTTAATTGCATTTTTTTGAGATAAAGTACAATAAATTACCTGCAAAAAGAGATCGCAAACAAGAAGAAGACAATAAAACCTTACATAATCAACCTCAACCCCCAACACCACCACCCCTGCTCCCTCCTTTTTCTGGTAAGGTAATTGTATATTGATTAAAATGAGTAACTGTAAAATATGTGATATGAACAAAAGCCACTATCAGGACAAGCTTGGACAAAACAAAAACCCAGGCAGCAGTAAAACACTACAACCAGAGGTCAAAAAGACAAAGGAGCTTGCTGGACATTAGAAGGCTAAATACAGGCTAAGCAGATTGCAAAGGGCAGCAGTAACTCTGGAGAAGCTATGAGTCTTCATTTTGCAAGAGAGGAGCTAGCAGCGGATAGAATCCATAATGGAATGAATAACAGCTCTGATGCTTGAAGGAGAAAAAATGAAATGCTTGCTTGTTTCTCTCTAACCATATATGACAGACACATGCAGCAAAGGCAAAATCTTGTGACACAGGAATTTGATGCTATTTTCCTGGGAATTTTAGTGGAAGGCTGTCCAGCTAAGGATGGATTTCCAGTCAGAGATGGAAGAAAGGAAACTACAGAGACCTTGGAAGTAGGGGTGCAAGTTGGGTCCTGTCCTTGATAAACCATAAATCGGGTTTATAATTCTCAAACCCGTGCCCATTTTGGGTTAGGATTGAGTTAAAATCGTTCTAACCCGAGCCTAACCCAAAACCCAAAATTACACCACATGACCCTGACCCTAACCCTACTGCTGTTTTTGTCTTCTTTGGAAACCCCAGTCCAAATGCTTCGCGGCAGAGAGTCACCAATACCAAAACGCGAAATTCGCCAGAGCTTGTTGTGTCATCGTCATGCAGCCCTTTCAACGAGGCATTTCTCGTATGCCTGACCCATCTCCCACCAAAGAAATCACAGAAACCAAAAATCAATGTGACATGTTAAGGAGACGTATTGTTTCAAGGGTAAATTACAATGACATTCCTTGAGGTTTACCATAATGACAGTCATATACAAGTTGGACATTTTTTGAACAATGACACCCCCTCTTAGAATTTTGATCCAAACAAGCCCTTAAAAGGTTGGAAAAGACTAAATTGCCCATCAATATTTAATTAATTTTAATTGTAAAATATCAAAATTTTAAAAAGACACTTTTGCCCTTCTATGAAGATCTCACCTAACCCATTCAACCCATAAACAAGTGTCCGTGTCGGTACATTTCTCTTTCTCTCTCTAACTTTTGCAAGCGCATCGTCAAGTCCAACTCGTTGTCGACAACACACCACTCGAACGAATTCGAAACTTGGAGCACGTAGTCCAACGCCTTGCTCGGGCCATCACCGGCGGTGATTGTATCACCGCTAAGAATTCCTTATTGAACGGCCCAAACACACCTCCATCTCCACCGTTGGTATTCCACCATATCGCTTCTCCGGAATAGAGACCAGCATCCTCGACGATGATGATATTAAAGTCCATACTCTGATTTTGCTGATTCACCAGATCCATTTGCATTATCATCATAAGGGTCGTTTCACTTATGTCAAACACGAAATCAGTCGACTCTATTCTGCTTGCATCCAACCCGGATGGACTACCCGGGCTGAAATATAGGCCCAAAATGGAGTGGGACCCTCACTCACCGATCTCTTTAATGGCTACTGATTTAAGTAGCCTTCGGCGGTACTCATCGATGAGCACTTCCTCTTGAGGGAGGAGTTCCAGTGGTTTTTTATGGCGTAGTCGGTTCGACCCGAGAGGAGAAGGGCAATGGTGGCCCATTTGTTGCCAAACAGGGTGTGGGTTTGAATGGAGAGTAAAATGGTGTCTTAGCAATGTTTGGGTCTCCATTAAAATTGGTTTGGAGAGAAAAAAATTTGTGATTAATTTGGGGAAGGTTAGGATAGTGTAGGAGTGGATTGGATTGCAATTGTATGTGTGTCTGCGTGTAATACATCTATATATATATATATATAAGAAAGAGAATGAAGAGAGGGAAGAAGAGGTGGTGATGACTTTGTGGATAGGTGCTTGAGATGAAAAGGTTATTTTGGACATTTCAAATTTGTTAGAATGCATAAATTGGTAATTTCACTATTCAAAAGTGTCACTTCACATGTCAAAGGTCATTTTATCACGTGTCAGGCACTCAAGGGGTGTTTTTGTCAAAGGGAACAAACCTGTGAGGGTGTCTTTGTCAAAGGGAGCAAATCTAAGAGAGTGTCATTGTTCAAAAGTAGGCCAACTTGTATTTGGCTGTTAATAGAATAAACCACAAGCGGTATCAGTGTAATTTACCCTTGTTTCAAAATTGTGATGTTATGGCTTGAAAAATAGACTTTGTGCGGGCCTAAGCCAATTTGACCCGTTTTTCTCTTATGGGTTGTGACTCGATTCTAGAATTCTCTTGTAGCCCAGTATACAAGGGCGTTTAGGGTTTGGGGTGTGTAATGAGAGAACATTGAAAATTGCAGGAAAGAGATAGAGAGAGATAACTCAGGTTTGGGGTTGTAATATCCTATTTTTCGCATGAAATCTTTCGCCGAAATTTCTTAGCGGACGTAGACATATGCCAAACCACGTAAATTTTTGTGTGGCGTGTTTACTATTCTATCGTGATTTTTGATTGAGTTATTGATTCACAGTATTTGCTGCCTATGGTACATGAACTCGGGTACGTGTGTCGGATACAAGTATGTATCCATGCGTCAAACGTGTCAAATCTCCAACCAGAAGGACCCAAGGACACTGCTAAATATTCATTTTATTTTATTTTCTAGAATAAAGCAATGTTTTTATTCAATATAGACATTTTTTTATAAGGTTCAATAGAGACATTAAACTCAATATTTTTTTTTTTTAATGAGTAAAAATAACATTAAAAAGGCGTTCAAAAGGGGAACGCATCCCAATTACAAAAGTGGAATCGGGACTAAGGCCCCAAAGAATCCAAGAAAGTAATTAAATCATCAAAAGAAAAACAAAAGCTCCTCTTTACATAATTGAAAAGAGAACGAAGAATGTAAAGTTTGACCATTGCCGTGGGCGACTCTTTCCCTTCGAATATTCTGCTATTTCTCTTATTCCAAATGCACCCCCATCCACAATGTGGTGCAATTCTCCAGAAATCGCGAATGTCTCTTCTCACTCGACAACCTCTCCAAACATGGATTAAATCCTTAGTAGATCGTGGCATAACCCAACATATGCCAAACAACCCAACAATGAGATTCCAACTGTCGTTCGCCACGGGGCAATGCAAAAGGAGGTGATCAACGGACTCCTCATCATCCTTGCATAGACAACATCGATTAACGATACAATTGCCCCTTTTCCTCAAGTTATCAATTGTCAGAATCTTTCCCCACACAGCGGTCCAAACAAAGAAAGCCACCCTAATTGGAGCCATAGACCGCCAAATAGTTTTCCACGAGAAGTCTCAATTAACAAAATTAGACAAACATAAGAACAAGGATCTAACTTCGAAGCGACCGTGGGAAGAAAAAGCCCAAATTAAAACATCATTACCTCTACCAACGCCCTCCTGCCGATACAGAAGATCTAGAAAAACACAAACCTCGTCCATCTCCTAATCTTGAAAAGAGCGCCGAAAATGCACATCCCACGTAATCCCGCTGCTACACCATAGATCTTCCCAAAACCGAATGCAACGACCATCACGGAGTTTGAATCTGATATAAGCCGAAAAAAAATCCCATCCCTTCCGAATAGCCTTCCACATCCTTACTCCTCCCACCAGGGTAACCGGACGTGTAGACCAACCTCCAGCCTCTTCTCCAAACCGACAAGAGACTAACCTGCGCCATGGACGATGTCTTTCCCTCCCAAATCTCCATAACCAATTACCCGAGAGAGCTTGATTGAAAGGAACAAGGCGTCTTATTCCAAGTCCACCTAATTTCATAGGCTCACAAACTTCCTCCCATCTGACAAGGTGGTACTTGAACTCATCACCCTTTCCTCCCCAAAGGAAATCCCTTTAAATTTTTTCAATCCTATCCGCAACGGAACAAGGGATTTGGAACAAGGAAAGAAAATAGGTGGACAAGCTCGATAACGTACTTTTGATAAGAGTAACTTTACCCCCTTTTAACAAGTATTGTTTCTTCCGTCCTGCCAATCTCTTCGCATACCTGTCAATCACGGAATCCCAACTCCCCACTAACCTTAAAGAGACCCCTAGGGGCAAGCCCAAATAAGGAATAGGGAATGAGCTCTCCTTGCAACCAAGGACTGCAGCTAAAGAGGAAATATCCTGAACATTCCCTACTGGGACAAGCACACTTTTAGCCACATTGACCTTTAGCCCGGAAACTGCCTAAAAACAAGTCAAAACACACCTCAAGTATCGAAGTTGAGACACATCAACGTCACAGAAAACCAGGGTATCATCTGCAAAGAGTAAATGAGAAATCTCCATCTGATGGACTAAATCTCTGCCCACCCTGAATCCCTTTATAAAACCAAGGTCCTCTACCTGCGCATAAGTCTACTTAACCCCTCCTTAACAACAAGAAAAAGGAAAGATGACAAAGGATCTCCTTGTCTTATACCCTGAGAGCAACCGAAGAAACCAGCGGGAGAACCATTCACAAGAACTGAAAACTTGACAGACGAAAGACATGTCTCTATTCACTTCCTTCATTTACTTCCAAACCCCATTCTTTGTAACAAATAGAGTAGGAAATTCCAATTCACATGATCATATGCTTTTTCAATATCAAGTTTGCATAAAACTCCAGAAATACCACTCTGCAATCTGGAATCCACACATTTGCCAGCAATAAGAACTGAATCAAGAATTTGTCGTCCGCCAACAAAAGCATTCTGGGAATCCGAAATAATCCCATCCAGTACTTCCTTCATCCTTAAAGCAAACACCTTAGCAATAAGTTTGTAAATACAGCCTACCAAACTAATAGGATGAAAATCCTTTATATCTGAAACACCTCCCTTTTTTGGGATAAGGGCAATGAATGAAGCATTAAGCGACTTCTCAAAGACACCAAAAGAATGAAACTCTTGAAAAGTACCCATTACCTCATTTTTTACAACCGCCCAACTTTCCATCAAAAATCGCATGGTAAAGCCGTCAGGTCCCGGAGCTTTGTCCCCATTACAACTTGATAAAGCTTTAAGAACTTCTTCTTCAGTGAAAGAACACTCAATCCTATCTCTATCAAGCTCGGAAATACCCTCAAAATGGAGACCATCAAGTTTGGGCCTCCAAACTAAAGGCTCGGTATAAAGCTTCTGATAAAAGGAAGCAATACCATTACGCACCTCTTCCTCTCTCCACAACTCCTCACCATACACTCGAATTCTTCCTATATGATTACTCCTCCTATAAGCGTTGGCTAACCAATGGAAGAATTTTGTGTTCCGATCGCCTTCCTTTAGCCAAAGAGCCCGAGATTTTTGTCCCTACGAGATCTCCTCCATACTAGCAATCTTGGTGGGAGGGAGTTATTGTTTCAGGATCGCCCAGTTTCACAATTACAAAGAAGTTAAGGGCTCTCAAACTAGCTCTTAAGCAGTGGAACAAGGATGTCTTCGGGAATTTAGAATGGAGGGAGAATAGAATACTTGAATGATTGGACATTAAACTCATTTTAAAGTAATAATATAATAAAATTGAATGATTGGATTTGCTTTTTAAGTATAAGTCTAACTAAAAGTGTCGAACACAAATCCCGTACCCATGTCCAAGCAATATGTGTTCTACATAGGTACTTCAATACTTTTGAAGAGTCAATGTAACATTATCACAACAACAATAGCTCCAGAAACTTTTGATCTTCCTATGCATAGGGCTCGCATTAGCAAGAGGCTCCCCCAAGGGAGGATCAGATGTACGCAGTCCTAACTCCACATGCGGAAAAGTTGTCTCCTGTGTCAGACTCGTGACCTCTTGAAGAAACACATGAAACTATAGCCTTATCTATAGCTGAATTGGTTCTTAAGGTTTGCCAAACAAGTACTGTGAGTGCAACCCGTTCTGGATTGCTACTTTAGTTGCATCAGAACTAAAGCAACCTTGTTCAATTCCAAAAAAATGAATGAGAATTGAACCTATCACGAGGAAGTAAGGAACTGAACTGGACTAAACCAGATTAAGGTTTGGCCGGATCAATTCAATTCTTTTATTAACTTACTAAATCAACATGAAGAACGGATATGGCATATAAGAATTCAGCTTGGAGAAACTTGCAAACAATGATTGTGCAATGGCCACATGTTTGAAAAATAAACACATCAGAACATGCAATAAAACTAATAATAATGACAGACAAAAATAATTTTTTTTTAAAACAGGAACACGAGGAAAAAGAACTCTAAACCAAGCAAATGATTCCAAGGAAAAAAATGAATTTGAAGGAAGAAATAAACCCTACTCGGATTTAACCAACCAATGAGAAGAGTAAGAAGAACAAGACAGAAGTGAACAATCTACCAGAACATTTGAGGTGGGCTTGTAGCAAGAAGAGGCTGGAGTTGTGCACTCACCGTGAAGCACTGAGCAACATAAAAGAATGATCTGCAAGAGAGAGAAAGATAATAAAGTCAATTCATCTCTTCATTCAGAATTGTAAAATAGAATGCTCCTAGGATAAAGATCACCACTCTTAGATACCAAACTTACATACATGGAGTTGGTTTTTAGGTTGCATTTGGTAAATTTTTAGTACTCATCACGAAATCCAACCAACCAACTTGGTTCACAACTTGTCAGCTGTTAGCAGACTAAACTTACTCCAAAACAGAACTAGAACATCCCCTTCAGACCGGTTTGGTCCTGTCATTTGATTAATTCCAAGTTGCAACCCTTACTATAACCATGTTTCTCACCAATCAATATACACATTAGGAACTCTCCCTGAATTTGCCTAATAACTTAATTTATAAGCAATGCAAAAAGATAAGAACTCAATTCTAACACTTGACGGAAAGGTCTCACTTCCCACTAATCTTGCACCAATTACAGCAGCATTGAAAGCCTCGATAATTTTCTAAAGTCCTGAACCCATGCCAAGAAATAAAAGAAAATAAAATAAAGAAAAAGAAAAAATAAATAAATAAAGGTTTGGAGCTAGTCTACTGGCAAGGGTGGGGTGGAGTTGTTCTGGTATCCGAAAACTTATGGTGTACTGAAGACTGACTTAATAGAAATAGAATGAAAGATTATTAGATTAATTGAAAAACCCCTTAAAGTTTTTTATTTCTATAAAAAAATTTAAAAAAAATTAAGAAGAAGAAGAAGAAGAATTGGCCTAGACATAATAGAAATAGAATGAAAGATTACCAGAGTAATTGAAAAAACCCTTAAAGTTCTTTATCTTTTAAAGAATATATGTTGAGTCTCGAGTTTAAATGAATCAATGAAAGCAACATCTAAAACATATGGAACATCCCCACAACCAGTAGTAACAAGAAAAAAGTTAGTTCTATATTATTCTTTTATAAGAGAAATCAAAAACAGAAGAACCTATGTAAATGTAGAGAACAGTCCACGTGCATGCATTCTGGTCATAAATGAAGCCTTATAATTCTGACATGGAAATTATCCACCACAACTGTGATGCAAATCCAACATTTCATCCAAACGGTTATGAACAAACAATCCGACTAAGACAATTACATGTCTAACCAAATATGGTCACAATTTTAATATGTTGAACTAGGTACACCCAATTATTTTAGATACCAAACCATAACTCTTATAATTTCATGTTAAAAAAGCAAATAAATTAGAAGACTCAAGGAAATAAAAAGTTAAACATCAATACTAAATCCTTGACAGCTGAACCAAACTTTAGTCCTCAGTATAAGAGTTTTGAATGGGCTAATCAATGTTGGTATACAGTCTGCCATTCTGGTCACAAATAGACCCACAAAAGCCATCTGGACTGGCCTACCAAGTCTGCAATAAATATCCACCATTTTAACCGGAAGATGATGGGTCAACCCAGCATTTAAAATGGTTTAAACATCATATAACATGTGAGTGGACAACATCGGGACCTAAATACATAGCCCCGTTATTATTTATAGCCCTAAATACATAGCAAAATATCCAGATATTGTGAACCACCAAATAACTCAACACAATGACAAATTCTACTGAGAAAAAACAAAATTCCAACTTTGAGTTATAAGGCACATATATCATTGCAACATGAATCAAAACATTCAAATAAGAAAGACCAACTTCATATCAAATACACAGACTAAATTCAGATTATCAACATAAACAAAAAAGAGAAGAAAAAAAAAATTACAAAACTTGGATATAAAAATCTGATGTCTGTTATGGTATTTCTCATATCAAGAACATAGAAAATGGAAGACAGATGATCTAGAGCAGAAAAACCGTAACATGCTCAATGTATTCCAGTTTATGGGTCAAATCGAGGCTGTCCAACTAAATTCAGGATATAATTAATCCCTTCCAAGCAAATCTGAAGCACCTCATCAGATCTGGAACATGTCTCCAGGACAATCCATAGAGTTACGAGCGAACCTATCCAGTTCAGACTCTTAAACAGGACATAAAAGCTAAAATGCATGAGATCTGGAGCGTAAATACATCAATCTAGATCTACGCAGATTCTCCAAAACCTATACATGCATGTGATCAATAAAAGTTCGTGATCGAAATACCAGATCAAATCGATCCATTTCCAACAGCACTCCGTAACCAGATCACAAACTTTTTAACATAATTATCGTTCGATTTCATGAACCTCCGAATAGTAACCAAATCCGGATTTCGAAATCCAAAAAAAAAATAAAAAAAAATAAAGGATTCGATTAAGAAAAGACTAAAACTTGATAACAATTGAAGATGATTCGAGTTGGCTTTCACACAGATGGGGGAAAATCGAACCTGTAACTGAGTTGCGGTAGGTTTCTGCCTTCTGTGACGGTGATTGTTGGTCGAGCTTCACAGAGTCCGATCGGGAGATCCGGTAGAGATAGGGTTAGGTTTAGGGTTAGGGTTGGGGGGTTTGTTTGTGGTGGAAGAGGATCTGAACCGGATGTGAGTTTGAGGGATTCGGTAACGCCCGATGGAGTATGCCAGATCGGTTAGGTCGAGATTGGGTCGGTCAACGCTATATATTCTTCTTCTAATATTGAATTGAATCCAACCCAATTATGGAGTCCATTTGGGTTACGACTTAGGTGGTGGGTAAGGTTACGACATTTCGGGATAGGTTTGGGTTTGGGGATGGATCTCACTGGTTTTGGTTAAGTTGAACTCTGTACTCTATGGAGTTGACTTGAACAATGACACTCATAAACAGAAAAATAAAATCAATAAATAAATATAGTGTCAATTTTTGTATGTGAAAGTGACAAAAATACAGTAAAAATTTACATTAAATAATGTATTAAATTATATAAAAATGATGAAGATTTCAACCAAAGCCTCTCCTTAGACAGTTAAAGCTAAGGTTTCAGAATATATATATATACAAAAGGGGGTTCTCATACGGTATAAAACAATAATTTTTTAATGGACTAAACGTCAATTAAAAAAATTATAATTTATTACTTTATCAGATCTTACCATAGTTAATTTACTATAATTGGCCAATACCTTTATTCAATCTCTCCTCCTTAATTTTTTCTATCGTTCTTACAATCTCAATCACTACTGTCATATTCACACCATCACAGTCACCATCTTCACTACTATAGCCACAACACAACTACCAATTTTTTATTGACCTTTTATTGTTTTCATGGTAGAATTAAGCAATATATGCTTTTTGTTTGATACCAATTTTTTATTTATTATTTTTTTGCTCTCTTTATTATTATTATTTTTTAGGGAAAATTACATATACATGGAGTCAAAGTTCCATATTTACTTAGAGACTGAGTCAAAGTTCTATATTTCTCTAAAATGGATTGCTGAGGTGGCACATGGTTTTTTACTGTTTAGAAAATTGTGGTGCCTAAAATGCCCTTCCCTAACAAAAAAGTAGTACCTTCAGTGTAAAAAAGTAGTACCTTCAGTTCAAAAAAGTAGTACCTTCGGAGAAAAAGTAGTACCTTCGCGGGTGTTTAAAAAACATGGTATCTGGACGCCAAAAAGTAGTACCTTCAGTTCAAAAAAGTAGTACATTTGAAGAAAAAGTAGTACCTTCGTGGAAGGGTATTTTAGGCACCACAATTTCTAAACAGTAAAAAATCATGTGCCACCTCAGCAATCCATTTTAGAGAAATATGGAACTTTGACTCAGCCTCTAAGTAAATATGGAACTTTGACTCCATTTATATGTAATTTTCCCTATTTTTTACCTAGATGGTTTTACAGTTGCTCTCTTATTTATTTATTTTTTATTTTTTTCGTCGACCCATTATTCCACACTTCGTGAATAAGCTTTTTTTTTTTATATTTTTTTTGGTTGAAAGGATACCAATTCTTTAGGGCTAGTGAATAAGTATAACCTCCAATAATGGAGTTTCAAACAAAAAGCATATATTGCTTAATCCTGTCATAGAAATAATAAAAAGTCTCTAAAAATTTGGTAGTTATGTTGTGGTTGTAATGGTAAAGATGGTGGTTGTGATAGTGTGGATATGACAGTAGTGGTTGAGATTGTAAGGTCGATGAAAGACATTAAGGAGAGAGATTGAAAATTGAATAAAGGTATTGGCTAATTATGGTAAATTAACCATGATTAGGTCTGATAAAGTAATAAAATGTAATTTTTCTAATTGACTTTTGGTCTGTTAAAAAGTCTGTTGTTTTGGACCGCAAAAGAGCATTCGTGATATACAAATATATATAAATAAATTACTCCTCTATTCCAGGGAAAAAAAAAAAGGTCAATCTTTTATTTTTGAATTGTTCCAAAATAATTATTCACTTTCACATCTTTCCATATATGTTCAAAATTTCAAACTTAAATATCCAAATGTTAGTAACTTTTCCTAGGACAATACACGTCTCACTTAAAAAAATTTAGGCCAGAAAAAGAACAATTTTTTTTTTTTCGGGGACGGAGGGTGTATGAAATTAGAAACTAATTTCTAAATTTAATTATTTATTAATTAGTACATTAATAATATTAGTTGAAAAAATATTAATAATATTAGTTGAAAAAATATTAATAATATTAGTTGTTTGTTTAACTCAATAGTTTTTTTTTTTTTTTTTAACAACTATTTGGAGTATTATGACCGATCCTAAACAAGTTCAACTATATATATATTTTCATTAGTAAGAAACTCACATATTCATTTTGTCCCTTTAAAAATTTGAACCCTCACCACTTATTTTAAAAGATAAAAAAAATAACACTAAACTATAATAAACCATTTATTTTAAAAGACAGAGAAAATAACACTAAACTATAATAAGCGTTTAACTATACTATTAAAGTTCTCAAGCGCTATGGAACCCTCTCTTTCGTCTTTAATAGCGCTATACTTTATATACGCGTGCGCGCGCACACACACTCTTCCTTTTTTTTCTCTCTCTCTCTTTTCCTTTTTAATTTTTTATATTTTCTCAATTTAAATGACAAAAAATACCCTTAATACTTGATCATTATTTATGAGGTAGGGACATTAGTACATATATAGAAAGGAAAAAAAATAAAAAATAGGGTATTGTCTACCATAATAAAATTAGAATCGTATATATGTATACTAATTGTTTTTTTTCCAAATTGGAATCTTATATGAGCCATATATAATTACACTATTTCAAGGAGAAAGGTAAATATCATGAAATGTAGGGATCCAGCCGTGGATTATGAAATGCTCTGAGAAGCTCGATAAAAAAAATAGGATGCCTCAAAATGAGGATTTTTACAATTTCAGAATTCGAAATTTGAAACTGAAGCCTTTGTTTAACGTCATATTTTTCATTACAGCGCTCATGATCCAATACACAATGATAGACACAGAGCATACAAGTTGATTACAAAAGTAAAGTTCAACAAGAGTGATTAAGCCTGCAACTAAAGCTACTTGCAGAAATGAAAGGCTTTTACAACTACTTGTAGAGAGGAAAGGCTAAGTTACGATTCCAACAATGGCTATGCAATGAAAATGAATGTAAAGTGCTGCAGATTGGATAATGACAAGGTGTTGTAGCATTAGTGACTCCAGAAGACTATTCAGTTTAAAACTTGTTCCACCTTGGTGTAGGTTCTGAAGCTTTTAATCCAACTTTTGAAGTTTTGGCAGGAAAGCTCTCCAAACATTGTGTAGATAACACATATTCAAAATGTTTATATATATATATATATATATTAGTTTGCGGAGCTGTCATGAGTCATTCAAGTCTTGTTTATCTTCAAAGTTCAAACCTTACTTGCAGCAGGTTTGTTACAGATGAAAAGTTTCTTGACTTTCCAATACAAGGCTCATCAGACCCTCAATGCACAAAACACACTTATTTTTTTTTTTCCCCCAACTAGATGTTCCTTATGGACCTAAAATATTTATGCATATGGCAACATTACTGATTTATATAATAACCAAAAAAAAAAAAATACTGATTTATATATAGTTTCAATGCAAACTGCAATAACAAGATGGAGAAATCAAAAGAATCTTATTTCATCTATTTCACCTCATGTGGTCTTTAACAGCTGCTTTATCCAGAGGAAGAGATTGCAATATGCTTTGCCAATCACAAAAAGATTCCTCACACATAGCGAAAAAATTATCCAGCAAGACTAGTTCAGCAAAGGCAAACTATCCAACTTCTTCTCTACTGCCTGGTAACGAAGCTTTTTATAGCTTTTCAGAAATGGGTGGCACAGTATATCCAGCAGGGTTAAGTGTGTGGCTTAGGTGAACATTTGAGGGCGATTACGGGATAGCTGAGGTCGCTTTACAGGTGAAAGGATTAGGTTCCTTAAAATCATTGCAGGGTTGCTTGCACCAGCTCCATAAGCAGGGAGAGCACCGGGCCTTCTGTTTCCAGGATCAACTGGAACCATTGGTTGTCTCGCAGGTGAGTTACCAGAAATGTCAAAGGGGTCGGAGAGAGAAGTATTTTGTCTTCTTGAAGGCCATACATCATCTCTAGGCCCTGGAGTTTCAGGAGTGGTAACGGAGCGCTCTGCAACAAATAAGTCAACTAGTATTTCTTGGAAGAATGTAACCATAACATATTACAAGCTAAAGCGCTGAAACAATAGCATCAAAAAACCAGAAAATTTAATCCTGTGAAGGCTCTAAGAGTGCTTGAAAATTGAAGTGACAGTCCCTTGTGTGAATACTAAATCAGCCTCTATAATGTTTCTCAAATGCCATAAACAGAACGAGATTACCTTTTCTTATAGGATCTCTGTTATCCATCATGCTAGCTGGATTTGAGAACATGTCAGGTTCAGTTCTTGAATAGAAATTGTTTGCAGGTTGGATGGCTGATCTTTTCACTGACTCGTACTCACTTCTCAATTGATCGTACATTTCATCAAGTTTTCTCTTTTGCCTGGTATATGGGAATAGCACTCATGTAAACCCAGATACAAATGAGTAAAGAGAAATAAATACAATAATAATAAATAGAGGGGAAAAAAAAAACTCCAGAACATCAATCAAAGGTTTTCTCAAATTCCTCGATATTTTTATATTTCAGAAACGGAAAAAGATAGTCTTAAAAGGTTTGGACACAATGATGTCAGAGACCCACCTAGATCTCTCAGAAAATTTTTCCTGGAGCTCTTGCTTATCCTTGGACAAGCTCTCCATCTCTTGTTCCAGCATCTGGCACCTCTTGGCCATTTTCTGATATGCAGTATGCACCTGCTCCAGTTTTTCTGTGAACTTTTCTTGCATTGTCTCGCATTTCTGCCGGCACTGAGCTGCTATTCTGCTCATCTTGAATTGCATCTCCAGCTCCTTCTGACCAATGTAGAACATCACGCTTCTGTATGCGCTTTTCATCACTAGGTTTGTTCAAGGACAAATGTATTCAATAAATAATTTTTTTTTAAAAAAAAAAGGTCGGGGTGGAGGGAGAGAAGAAGAAGTTGCAGAACCCCTACACCCCGTTCTTTACTTGGACCACTTTCACAAAATAAATGGATTAGTATGAATACATCAACACCTAGTTGAACTGTACGTATATTCCCATTACATTTAATAACTGGACAAATTCTAAACCGGGAATATTTATAGGAAAAGGCTAATATAAGTAACAAAGGATACATATCTGAGGAGTTATCCCAACCATGACCATCTATAAAAGAATACGTAAAAATCAGCAGTAAGATAAGGAACCAGCAGAATAATAGAAGTTCATACAAGAGCAAGCTTAATGCAGATATCCATTTGAAATAGCGGGAAATCAAAGATCATTAGCTAGGAGAATTATGTGAGGAGGGTTGCTCACATTTATCCATTCATCATTCGGATTGATATCCACTGGTCTCATAAGACTGACAATTGAAAATCACACATTAAATTAAATAACACACATGATTTTATATAACATTGGATTTTAACACGAAGCTAACAAAAAATTTCCAGATTTATAACTAGCAGTGTTTATGATCAATTATTTATAAATTCTACAGCAGCTTGCAAGTTGCAACCAACTTGTGATGAAAGGGAAGGAAATCTAGAGTGATCCATTGATGCCTGTTAAAGAGTCTTACAATCAATTCATTTGGCAATTGATCTGCAGGATGCATGATCAAAACTACATGTGCTTGTTTCACATTGAGAAATGCCCTTTAAAACCCATGCACTTAGAGCAACCAATTGCTTTAAGAATACAAGAGCAAGGCAACACACTAAATTTCCAAACATCAGCAGTAAAACCACTTACCTTTTGGAGAGCACTTGATCACAAATGGGGCATGCTGCATCATTGCTCAGGATTTTACTCGCATCTTCAGTGCCTTTAAATGCCGCTAAGGAAACTTATAGTAATGTACCATTTTCCATTATGCAACCAAATATATATATATATATATGTGTGTGTGTGTATATATATGCAGAACTGCAGAGGAACAAAACTAGTTTATGCATCTGGATACACAAGAGGTGACCACAGGTGGTGGAAATGGCCCGCCCTTCCAGTTCTCTCCAGCACGCATTGCATCTCATTTCAGTCTTCAAAAATTATCTTTTATTGCAGTCAGGGATTGAAATACCTGTAAACCACAACCAAACATCTGAGCAGGGTTCTACATGTCTGTTGCACTTCCTTTATGAGAGGGACACATAATTTTTGTTGCTAAATGACCTAGAGGAACCAAGTAAGGACTGGTTCTATGAGCAAGCTGGTACTGTCAATTGTTTCAATTACAAATGGACTACAGAAAGACCATAATACAAAACATATCTACTGCAAATGATAAAGAAAGTGCAGATCAATTTAGGAATTAGTAACTCTAGCATACACGCAGGTATTGGGTGAACTAAGTTTTTCACATTGGAATACAGTTCCCCCATGAAAAAAAAAGGGGGGGAAAGAAAAGGATTTGTATAATCAGCTTAGTAAAAGGGATCATCCAGATTTAGCTACAAGCATGTAAAGGTATAGAACCTCATTGAACCCTAGGCATCACAAGAGGAAATATATCAACCAGAAAGTTCAAAATGCCCTCCACTTGGCTGCTAAAAAACTTAGAAAAGAAAAACAAGCATAATATAGGTCTCAGCTTAACCAAGTCAATGGAGTTCACTAGGCTCGGTTGAGTTGGATCTTCTCTCATGTCTCTGGTAATGAGAAGTCTCAGGTTCAATATTTCAATTTCTGTTACTTTCCTTCATTTTCTCAGAAACCAAACGTAGCATAGCGATTTCAAATGCCTAAGTTTGATCGTACCTGAAAACAATATATCTTCACAAAGCTTCAGTCTTCCTCCTTCTCTAGAAAACTCTCAAGCCAATCTATGAAATTTCAGAGAAAAAACGTCCGCATTTGCATAAAAACAAGAAAAGTTGAACTTGAAAATGTTAGGATCGATTCAGTTCCTATCAATGATCGTGGTCTTATAATGAAATAGAGTTTCATCTCCAAGCAATTTCAGAATATCTAAGAGAAATTCAAATTTTGACAAACTCTGATCAATTTCAAGAACTAATATTACACCAGAACAAGCAATGATCGAATCAAATCACTGAAAATTTGAAATATACGGCTATATTACCTGGAGTATTGCTAGAAATTCCTCGTAATTTGTGAATTTTTCAAGGTTTTACCCCTTGAATCAAAGTATTCAAAAGTCAAATCGGAACGACTCTCTCTCTCTAGTTGTTTATCGAACTTGGTTTAAATCAGAAATGGCGGCAAAAGTCAGCTTTATATCTTCACCGGAGATGGAGATGGAGAAACAACGGGTCGGTTTTCGATTTATAGCTTCACCGGTTCAGTGGTCTGGAGTCTCGACCGCAGTACATATACACGTGTATTGTTTACAATTAAAACACTTTATTTATTTATTTATTTGTTAGCACCTTTATTATTAATTTTACAAAAATGCCCTTTAATGGAGGGTTTTAACTTTTAATATGATAATGGTAGGACTTTAAAATTGCCATTATCAAAATTACAAAATGATATAATTATCTAATGAAAAATAGTTATTCAAAATATAATTTTAAAAAGTTAAAATTTTTAATTTCATGTAAAAGTTTTACTGAGCTAAAATTTTTACTATTTAAAAGTTTTTTTTTGTTACCAAATTTATTACTAAAATTAATAAGTTTTCAAAATAAAAATGCATTTACGTATTTCAACAAAATGGACTTTAAACCTAACTAAGAAGTAAGACTCATTCTCTCAGGTTCCGGCCCGTTTATTTTGCGAAATTACCATAATACTCTTTTATTTTATTAAAAAATATACTAGAATATATTAATTGAGTTTCTTATAAAAAATAGTAGTTGTCTTTCTTCACTTAGGCTGGTTTCTCATGTTGGATTTTTAAATGAATAAACTAACAATATATTAAATATAAATATTAAAAAATAATAAAGTGAGGCGGGTAAAATTAGGTGGAGACTGAGTGAGATAATTTAAAAGAAGACGAGGACATAATATAAGAGGTTTCCTTCTAATCGATATTGGGTAAAGATGAAAAATACTATATTTAATGAAAACGAGAATGACCAATTCACACAACACATTGAAGAGTACCCAACCGTTTTATTAAAGTATTGAGAATTAAACAATATTTTCATAACAGGATCTTCATATTTAATTATTAAATTAAAATAGGGTGAATTACATCAAACCTTCATTTTTTTTGGGTGCTTTTCATTAAATTCTTCTTTTCTATTTTTTTGTCAATAAATCTCCCTGAACTATTCGAGGGGGATAATTTAATTAACGGAAGTTAGTTAAAAGGTAATTGTTTGGACATTTAATTTTTCATATATTTTTTAAACAAAAATATCATTTTACCTATTTTAATATACTCTTACATATATATCTACTCCATCATATTTTAATATGATGGAGTACTGAAGATGCAAGAAATTCATTCCCTCTTTCTCTCTTTAGAATTCTTACACTTCAACCAAATCGATCCCCCTGTATTTTCCATTACTTCCTTTATTTATAGATATTTACAAGATATTTACAAATATTGACTGACTGCTGGATCTGGGCCTGTTCCTCCATAAGTCCTGGTCACCTTTGATGGGCTTACTCGCGTTCGGCCCATATGGCAGTGTCTTTATATAGGCTGACCCAACTGTACGGACCGGATATAGTGCTTGCAAGTCAGATCCGGCCCATGTCGTCCTGGGCCTCCTCAACTGCCCCCATAATTGCCCCTTATTTAATAAGGGGTAATTATTGATGGCGTCTCATCATGACGTTGACGGCTCGAGAGAACCACGTGGGGGAACGGACGGTCAGATCCAGAATCAATGTTCCGGGGCTCGAGGAATTTCTCGCATTCCCGACGCTTCACGTCCTTTTACCGTCTCCATCATCAGTCAAATCTCTCTCTTTCTAGAACAGTGCTAAGCTTTTTCTGGTGAAATCCTTCAAGAGTCATTCTTCCAGCGATCTTGCAGTCCTCTGAGGTTAGTTTTGTTCCTTTTTACTTTCGGCAGGCTTCCTTTTACCCCCTTTTAGATCCTTCAAGCACTTCCACCATGGTTGTAGATCTGGATGTTCTTCGTATGAGACTTAGACTTCCTGACAACATCGAAGTTAGGGTTTGCCCTCAGGACGTTAACGTTATGACCGGTGCCGGCCTCCTGCCCGGCGAAGTCTTATTCACGAACCTTCAATTGAATGTTGTTAGGTTCCCTCTGCACCATTTCTTTAGTTATGTCTTCAATAGATTGGGGATATCCCCCCTGTAGGTCAACCCCAACTTCTTTAGAATCATATCCGTTATGCTCTTGTTGATGCGTGACAGAAATCTGGACCTTGACCTCATAGACCTTCTTCTGTGCTATAAGGTCAGTAAGATCCGTACTAACGAACCCTTCTACCACCTCTACCCGTTCGAGAAGATGTCCATATGTACGGACACAATAAAATCTGAAAAGGGTTGGAGGGATGGCATCGTGGGCATTAGTGGGGCTTGGTCTTCGCCGGCTGCAGAGGGTTTCCCAATCCCGAGCGCCTTTGGTGTCTGTTCTGTCTCCTCCTATAAGAAATTCAAATCTCATAAACATGATTGCCCCTGCGAAACATGCGTTCCCCGTTTTTGTACTTTCTTATGCCGTTCCTTAGGAATACCTTGTGATGACTTGAGTTACAGTGTTTGCAGGCATAGGAGTAATTACTTGAAGAAATACGTTCTGAACGATATTCCTTCCTGTTCAGATCTCCTCACTTCAGACAACCTCTTAGCGCTCTCATCACTCGGCTACAACATGAGCAGGCTTCAGATTCCTTCTTTTGGCAGGAAGAAAAATACTCCCCCAGCCACTCCTGCTGCTGGGGCGACCTCCTCTCCAGCGTTAGCCTCTTCCTCAGCCACCATCTCTGACACTGTCCCGAGCACAGTGGCTATTAACTCTATTGTCAGCGCCCATGCTGCCAACCAGAGCGCGTCTCCCCAAACTACCTCAGCTCCTGCTGCTGCGGGGGGCGTTCGGGACAAAGAGCGAGGCAAAAGGCCTCATCCTGACAGTGAAGTCGATCCTGAGGAGGAGCCTCTCATAAGAAGGACCCGGGTCTCCGGGCCGGGTGCTCTCTTGCACCATGCGATCAGAGCTCCTGCTCCCTCTGGGCCTACTGCAGCTGGTGGCTCCGCTTCTGCTTCAGGCCCCCCTTCTATCCCCACCTTACCGCCATGGGCCCCTCGGTACACCCGAACGGATGGGACGTTCGTGAAACCGAACGAGACCATGCTGAAGGATGGCCAGACGGCCATGGCGTACTATAGGAGCATGTGGACTCCGAAGGACCTTGAGGCGGCAAAGGGCCTATCCCAGAAGGATGTGTTCAGCCGCTTTCCCCAATCTGCTATGGAGGTGACTTTTATTTTCCAACTCATGAATTCTCTCATATTATTTGGTCTTGCCTTCGCCCGACCTGACTATTGGCTTAACCGTTTTTAATGTGCACCTATGCAGACATTGTTCGGAATGATGGCCATGCAGAAGCAGGTGGAGATGGGGAACGCCAAGGCTCGTAAGTTTTCTGATAGCCTGGAGGTGGCTAATAAAGAAAACGACCTCCTCGCCATGAAGAATACCGAGGTACTGGCTCGGCTTGACAAAATTGAACAAGAGAGGGATGTCCTAAAGAAGGAGAATGACTCCCTTCAGGATGAGAAGGATGCCCTCCAGCTTGAAAAGAGCGTCTGGCAGACTGAGCGTGAATCAATTAGAGAAGAAAAGGCAGAACTCCAGCGCCTTCTGGCTGATGAACAGTCTGCTCGGATGGCTTTTGAGAAAAGAGCTCTGGACGAGCGTACCGCTCTGATCGATGCGATCAGCAGAGTGAGCGGTGGGATGCTGGCTCTTCACGCTCGGTTCTCAAGGGTCGGTGCTCTTAGGTATGCTCAAGGATTCCGGGAAGGTTTCGCCGACCGAGTTCCGGATGAGGGACAGACCAGTTCCACTCCAGATGAGGTCGACAAGGATCTAGGGATCGAACCTCTGGGGGTCTATGTCGACCCAGAACCCACCGAAGCGGAGCGCATATTCGATGAGTGCCAGGACATTGCTTCCTCAAGGATCATC